TCCCCCAATTTACTTCTTGCATAGAACCTAGTTTCTTGCTATAGTTGACCTGGTTTCAGGAAGTAGTAGAAGCCTTATATTATTGCTTTCCTGGACTTTGAGGTAGTCCTTGGTATATGTTTTAATAGTTTTGTGTTTTTCTAAGCCAAAAACATTTAATATAAAAAAGTCATTAACACTAATACTTTTTTTGGAGAAGTTGGCCCAAATTACCCAGGCATTAATGACAATTAACCATACAACCTTGAACGTACTCTTTTCTTATTAACTAGTGATTCTCAATCCTCAGAGTTTCTGAGGCAATAGGATTAGGTGTGGTCCAGGAATTTGCATTTCTATCAAGTTCCCAGGTGATGTCGCTGTTGCTTTTCTGGGGAACCACATTTGGATAAGGGCTCAAGGCCCCTACGAAGTTTTATATCTGAAATGAAATTTTTTTGTGAATAGTGAGCTTTCTTACACAGTCAAGGTCACAGTATCATACTTCCTTGGTCGGAAAAGAATGTTAGCAGATGACTTTCTGTGAGTGCCATTCAGCTTATCAGCAACAGAGGTGACTCTGGAGATAAAGGTGTTGGACATAGCCTACACTGTGTAGCCTATTAAGAGGCTGAGCTCAAGTTACCCTGTCTCCTTTATCCTTGGATCTTTCCAGACATGTTTGAAAGCCGAGATAAACAGCATCACCAGATGTATAATCATAGAATGTATAAAAAAACTGACAAATGCCAAAAGGGCTAAAATTTGTTTTATGGCAGTGGTTCTCAAACCTGTGGGTCGCGACCCTTTTGGCGGTCGAACGACCCTTTCACAGGAGTCGCCTAAGACCATCCTGCATATCAGATATTTACATTACGATTCATAACAGTAGCAACATTAATGAAAATAATTTTTTTAAAAATATATTTTATTGATTTTTTACAGAGAGGAAGGGAGAGGGATAGAGAGTTAGAAACATCGATAAGAGAGAAACATCGATCAGCTGCCTCCTGCACACCCCCTACTGGGGATGTGCCCGCAACCATATGCCCTTAACAGGGAATCGAACCCGGGACCCTTCAGTCTGCAGGCCGACGCTCTATCCACTGAGCCATACGGGTCAGGGCACGAAAATAATTTTATGGTTGGGTCACAACATGAAGAACTGTATTTAAAGGGCCAGAAGGTTGAGAACCACTGTTTTATGGCATCTGGAATGTCAACTTGAGTTATACAGTTTATTAGGATAAAATTCTGGTATAAATTTGGCTGTTGTATCAAATGGGAATTTTAATTTTAGTCTTTGACAGAGTCGGTGTCAGTCCTTTAGAGAAGAAGTGCTAAAATACGGTTCATCAGAAAGTTTGCGGGAATGTGGCGAGACTCCCGCATGGTCTTAAATGTCTTCACCCAATTATAGCCATATTGAATCTTTACTAAAATAGAGAAAACGTTTCATGAAAGTGTTGGGCCAAGTGCCTTTTTGAAATTTCCCAAAGAAAGGCCTTCTAGGAGAAATTGCTCTTCAATGCAATTCACAGTGAAGGGGCATCCTTTCAAATATTTATTAGTATTTCTGCTTTTCCAGTGCATTTCCTCACATGTTAAAATGAAAACTGCCTAGTGCAGCGATCCATATGTGAAGTATTTTATCAAATCATGCCAGGGAGTCAGTGTAGGCCTTTTGACAGCCAGTTTGTATGAGGCATTCATATAATCAAATGTTTTAATTTCACTTTAAAAGGGCACGGATGTTACCAGAGCAATGGCTTGCAAATAGCCCTGAGTAAGGGGATGGAAGGCCATTGGAGAGTTTACTTTGGTTCAGTTCCACGGATGCTCAGCTACAGTTTTAGAGTCGGTTTTCCAATTGCATGGCTCTCTCCAGCGGCACTGTCTGCCAAGTCACACACAGAGCTCGTTTTCGTGTTCTTCCAGGGTTTGGAGCTATTCATTTCTCTCTAAAGCTCAGACACGAAGGTGGAAGCCTACGGGAAGAGTGAGAAGTGCTATTAATAATTCATTTGAAAAGGGCTTCTATTTAGTTAAAGTATCAAGTAAGCAACCAAGATAGTGTAGGCTTAACTAACTTTAAAAAAATCTTTTGAGTATTTTAACTGAGAATCAGTTTTACTTATTTTAATGAGAGATGATATTTCAAAGTTAGATGAAATTTTAGAGAACAAATAGCCTGTATATTGCTTGATAAAAGATAACTTTTTTAATTTTTCAATTACAGTTGACATTCAACATTATTTTATGTTAGTTTCAGGTATATTGAATAGTGGTTGGACAGTTATATAATTTACAAAGTGATCTCATTGATAGTTTTAATATCTACCTGGCATTATATATAGCTACTAGAGGCCCAGTGCACAAAATTTGTGCACGGGTAAGGTCCCTAGGCCTGGCCGATGATCAGGGCTGATGGGGGCTTTCTGGCTGCTGGCTGGGGCTTTCCTTCATTCCATGCCGCCCCCTGGTGGTCAGTGCACGTCATAGTGAGCGATTGAACTCCCAAGGGGACACTTTGCATATTAGCCTTTTATATATATAGATTACAGTATAATCCCCATGTTGTACTTTATATCCCCATGACTATTTTGTAACTACCAATTTGTACTTTTTCACCCAGCCACCTACCCTGCCTCCCATCTCGAAACTTTGTTTTATCTCTGTATCTGTTTATTTTGTTCTTTAGATTTCACATACAAGTGAAATCATATGGTATTTGTCTTTCTCTGACTTACTTCACTTAGCATAATAACCTCTAGATCAGTGGTTCTCAGCCTTCCTAATGCCGCGACCCTTTAATACAGTTCCTCATGTTGTGGTGACCCCCAACCATAAAATTATTTTCGTTGCTACTTCATAACTGTAATGTTGCTACTGTTATGAATCGTAATGTAAATATCTGATATGCAGGATGTATTTTCATTGTTACAAATTGAACATAAAGCATAGTGATTAATCACAAAAACAATATGTATTATATATATATTCCCCTCCTTCACAACAGGTGAGGTGGTACACAGGATGCATAAGATTGATTCAGTTGGCTCTTCCAGCTGGGCTTTCTCTAAGAAAGTCTCTAGTTATTTACCCTGGCCTCTCACTTCTGGTAGCCTTTATTATTATTTTTTTAAGTTTAAAAATAATAGTAAAAAAATTTTGAAAAACAGAGTTCAGTTTCACAAAACCATTGGCTTTTTTTCTTGGGATGGAGGTATTTTTCATTTTTGCTTTAATGACATAAATATTTTACCAAGCTGTAATTGCAGTATAAACTTTTGTGCTTACTTAAAACTTGAAATTGTATCACAATTTTTTATGTTGTGAAGTTTTCAAAAGTTATTTTGATTGTTTAATGTTCTGTTGAAATGATGAACTATAATTTATCACTCCCACATATTATTAAATCTTGAGGTTGATTTTGATTATTGGTGTATCTGGCAGTATAGCCAGGAACATTTTGTTGGTTGAAATTAGGGTAAAAAAAATAAAATTATTTTTACAGTACTTGGTATGTCTTGTTAACTTTTAAAATAAAGTATTTTTGATTTGGCTTTTAGAATTTGGGGACCATTGCTCAAGTTACTAAATGGAGAATTTGAAGTTATCTATAATACTAAAAGGGTAATATGCTAATTAGACCATATGTCTTTCCTGAAGCTGGGAGAGGGGGGGAGTAGTCGGGGGCAGCCCCATCCCGGGTGCCTGCGGGCAGCCTGGGGAAGCCAGCCTGGGTTCCAGGTGCCTGCCAGCAGCTGGAGGAGGGAAGCTTGGGTCCCGGGTGCTGGAGGGAAGCCGGTGCCTGCAGCCGGGGGAAGGAAGGCCTATTCTTGCATGAATTTTTGTGCATCGGGCCTCTAGTATGAAGCATAAAAGTACTTCTAACTGAGCTTTCTAACTGAGGAATATCTTTCCAGGTTCTGGTTGCCAGTAGTAAGAATAGCTGCTTCTGAGAGAACCGCCTATGTGTTAGGTGCTTTATATGCTTTATTGTCTATTGGCATTGCAGTATTAATTAAATTGGGTAAAATAGCTATCAGAACCAGAATAGTATACTTGAGCTTAAACTAGTGCACTAAAAATAAATTTTGTTTCTTAGCCATAGGATTTGGTTTATTAAATTGTAGGCTAGGCAACAAGTTTTCAAACAACAGAGTACCATGACTTCTTTTTTTTCTAGTGTTAATGGATCAGTGTTATTCAGACTGATGGTTCCATTTGTAAACTGGATCATGCCTTGCTTGGCTTTTGAATGTCTGCTAATAAAATGCCTTAATTGTGGGTCAGTGAAGCCAAACTAATTGCTTGTTGGGTACTTGGATTGCCTTTTTAATTTGCTGTACAATGCAGTCTCTACCAGAAGTACACAATATATCGTTATCTAAATAAAACTCATTAAAATCATCTCACATGCAACAGAATGTCTGATGTTTTGTCCATAATCTTGCAAATAAGAGAAAATTGAGTGGCATTAGAGACTTGTAATTTACAAGTACTCTTTTTAAGTGCCTTTGTTTCCATTTTGAAGTTATACATAAAATAACTGCAATGGTTTATGTCAGTGTGATAGTTTTCTGTAAAAAAGACATCTTTGCTGTTATTCTTAATTCACAAAACAGCAACTAGAGGGGTAACCTCTACAATTTAGGGAACAATTGCTTATTGGTTGGTAAGATGTTTAGCACTAAAATACTGGTTTTCTTTAATTTTCTCTGGACTGACAGGCAGCTTTATAAGGACTTTGTTTAGATCCTGCTTACTAATTCCATTCATTTAACGGCCACTGAGTGCTAGGAACTGTTGTAGGTGTTGGGGATACCCGAGGTTCATTTTAAAAAAAAAATATGATAGATATTTAGCCATAGAGAAAAATTGTTGAAATGAATCCTAAGAGCTTTTAAGATGATTTTAAAAACAGAATAATTTGATTAAGAAATTTCTAAAATATTTAATAGATGCCTGTTTTTTTTTAAAAAATATTAATTTGTTCATTACCTTTCTTTTTGTAGGTTATTTCTAATGAGAGTCATGGATATTCCCTATTTAAACTTGGAAGGCCCAGACTGTAAGTGAAATTTATTTTCTTATGCATCTGCACATTTAAGTATGTGGTCTGGAAGGGATAATAGGAAAAGTATGACTGAAGAAAGTGCTTTATCACTTAAAAAAAGGCAGTGATTTTTGTGGTTGATATGGATAGTATGCTTAAGTTAATGGTACCCTTGAGCCTTGATTAACTCATCTTTTTACTTACATTTTCCAGTTTATGCGTAAGTTGAATTAAAAATATATCACCATAATTTTGTTTCACTCAGAACTCTAAATTTATAATTTCATATAAATGCATAGTAGATTTTAAGATGAGTTATCTATATCAGTAACAGTAAGTTCTCTATTTTATAATTATTGGAGTACTGTATATTTTAGTTTAGTAGGTGATTTTGTTAAACCTTGGAAAGCTAATATATTTGGGAGGTGGTTGCTTCTTCTTCTAATTAATCTGTACTCTGTCCACATTGCCCCATTGTTCTTTTCCAAGCCTTTGGATGTTGGTCTTAATATGTACTACAGGGATATAGGAATGGGTAAACTATACTTGATGATATGCGCTCCATATTAGATTTACATTTTAATCTGTCATTCTCATAAAAGTTTAGCAAGGTAAATATCGTCATTCCCAATTTATAACCATGATTGGTTAGAGTGGTTAGTTCTCTTGCTTGGAGTTGCACAGTTCAGTGGCGGGTCTGGTATTAGAACACAGAATTTTGACTTAGGACTGCCTTTACTTAAACACAATTAGCCCATTTAATTTGAACACTGTGGTGTGTGTTTTAGCTAATAAACATGTGGACAACTAGATTAAAAGGAGAAAGTTAAATGTTTAGTGAAACTTCTCAAACCGAGAAGCTGGTTTTTTTTTTTTTTTCTTTAAATAATTTTCACAGGAACTTCATGAGCAAAGATGTTTCTGCATAGAATCTTTATTATTGTGGGTTCTATAAAATATCAGAGCCTGATGTCTAGGTTAAGATGGCAGAGTACTGCCATTCCTAAGAATGCTTTTAGGAGTTGTCTGATAATCAGGAAGCATTCATAATAATTCCCCAAGTTAGTGTGGACTTAGAGAACCCTTGATATATAGTTCACTTTTCAGCTATCAGCCTTTTATCAAAAATTTGTCTTGTAGTACAACCTAAACGTGATCATGTTCTCCATGTGACATTCCCCAAAGAATGGAAAACCAGTGACCTTTACCAGCTTTTTAGTGCCTTTGGTAAGTAACTCACAAGTGTAGATGTCCTTTTAACACTTTGCTCTTCTTTTGGTCGAGGTGATGAGAGGTATTTGGGGGCATAAGAGAATATTAATATGCATGGCTCAATGGTTGAGCATAGACCTATGAACTAGGAAGTCAGGGTTCAATTCCAGGTCAGGGCACATGCCTGGGTTATGGGCTTGATCCCCAGTGGGGAGCATGAAAGAGGCAGCCCATCAATGATTTTCTGTCATCATTAATGTTTCTATCTCTCCCTCTCCTTTCCTCTCTGAAATTAATAAAAATATATTAAAAAAACAAAAATATTTGAAGTTTATTAAAAGATGATAAAGTAATTATATATTTTAGCATTTAGAGTAAAAAGCAGATACAAAGTAGGATTCCTGTGTAACTAAAATTATTTTTTTACAAACTTCGTATAAAAACTGGACTGAAAAGAAATATCATACTAGTATCACTGAATGTTTTAGATAGGATTTTTTTCTTTATGCTTTCTGTATTTTCTAAAATAAGTATATATTAGCTTTTTAAAAAATACATATTTTATTGATTTTTTTACAGAGAGGAAGGGAGAGGGATAGAGAGCCAGAAACATCGATGAGAGAGAGACATTGATCAGCTGCCTCCTGCACACCCCGTACTGGGGATGTGCCTGCAACCATGTTCTTGACCGGAATCGAACCTGGAACCCTTCAGTCCGCAGGCCAACGCCCCATCCACTGAGCCAAACCGGTCAGGGCTTTATTAGCTTTTTAAGTAAAACCTTTACACACTTAAATTTTAGAAAAGTAAGTGAAAGCAGGCATATTTTTGGAAAGTTATCCTAATCTTTGCAGATAATCTACATGTCTTCTAAAATTCTAGTGCTGCTTTTAAACTTAAACACAGGTATAGAAATGCAGTTGAATTTCACAGCTCATTTCTTTTGAAAGCTTTTGATGTTGTTTCTCATCTTTTATTGTTACGTTCTTATCTCCGTATAGTCAAACTTTAATTGGCTAAATTAAGTAGAACGTTCTGAGTAAATTTAAAAAATTTTTTAATTAAAGAAAATTACTTTGTGATATTGGATAAGTAACCCCGCTGTATCTTTGCTTCTTCATCGGAGCTGATGATGATGGTGATGATGACGATGATGATGATAAAATAATAATAATGCCACCCGTTTCATAGACATGTCACTAGGATTAAATGAGCTAATCCATGGAAGGCATTTAGAATAGTATGTGGCATATAGTAACTACTTAATAAATGTTAGCTATTATTATTTACTAGTGAGTCATGTTAGAGGCCCGATGCATGAAATTTATGCAAGGGGCTCAGCCCTCTCAGCCCCTGTCGTTCCGCTATTCTGCAGTCCGGTCTAATTAGCATATTATGCTTTTATTATTATAGATGTCAAAGGCAGCATACTGGATAGAGAGGCAACAGAATAATAGTGACTTTCTAATTAAGTCATTATGGCACCTCATTGTGCAGCAGGAAGTGGGAGTTTTATCCTATGATAGTAAAATAAACTAGTTTCCTAGCCTTCGAAAATTTAGTTGGAATTAAGACAGTTTTTCATTGCTAAATTCCAGTGTGTTTACCCTTTTTTGTTATTGTTGTTAATCCTTACCCAAGGATATTTTTCCATTGATTTTTAGAGAGAGTGGGAGGGGAAGAGACAGAGAGAGATACATAAATGGTTGCCTCCTACACGCACCCCGACCAGGCCCGAAGATTGAGCCTGCAACCCAGGTTCATGCTTGGGGATCATGCCCTTGACTGGAATCTAGCCTGAGACCTTTCAGTCTGACTGAGCCAAACAGGCTAGGGCTGTTTACCCGTTTTTTAAAATTTCAGTTTTCGGTATTTTTTTAAAGAGTTGTAGCATAATAATTAGATCTCTGATTTTCTCTTCAGTTTTCTGCCATTTCCTAGTCCATTCCTCTTTCCTTCTCCTCAGTGCTCTCCTATATTCCATTCTGTTTACACTTAGCCATTCTTGAAGATTAGTCTCTGTGACTGCCCCTCTCTGTGTTTTTTTCCTCTCTGTTAAGACTGTCTTGTTTTCTCTGTCTGACACCTTCTTTTCCTTTTCCTTTATTCTGTTATCTGTTTTCTTTACCTGGCTTGAGATCAAATTGACTTTTTCTTATTTTTTGCTACATTGATTCATTTCATGTTTCCCATTCGTAATTTTCAAAGTTTGTGTCTTTGAAAAGAAATTGTTGTGTTTTTTAACTTATGTGGTCTCTGAATTTTGTTAGTGATCTTGATAGGAACAAACTTTCCAGCTCTGGCAGGATACAATCATGAAGGATATTTCTTTTGTTTATTAAAACAAATTTTAAAGCTCCTTTTTTCTTCTTCTTGGAAGTTTTAACTGAAATAACTGCTGTGGTTGATTTATGATTACCTTTTAATAGTGATGAGATTTTGATTATATTTTAAACCACCTCATATTTCTCTAAATTAACACATATACCGAAATATAACAGAGATATAAATGAAATCTGATAGCTATCGAAATGGTCAAGTGTTCACTTTACATTTAATACAATATTACAGGAAACATTCAGGTATCATGGATTGATGACACGTCAGCATTTGTTTCTCTCAGTCAGCCTGAGCAAGTACAAATTGGTAAGTGTTTTGGACATTGTTTTGTTTATTAATTAAAGTGGAAGCTTGCCCCCGCCACACCCTTAGTGGGTTCAGTCAGCTGATTCACAAGCATTGCAGCCTGGTATGTTTTGAAATTGTCTATAAAATAAAGAAAATAATTAGTGAGTCATGTTTAGAAAAGAAAGACAAATTTATTGATTCTTTATACATACTACATAGTATCTTTTTGTACTTACCTCCATTCTGTTCCTTTCCCATTGCATTTTTTTTTTTCTAAAATGAGTTGCAGATTTACTTGTAGGTTAGGAGTAGCAAATTGAGAGGGGTGGGGAACAAAAAATGATACCTGTATTGACCCTTTGGTCTCTAGTTTTCTCATGTATTTATAAATTTTTGTGATCTATTTATTCCATTAAACTTGTATAAAATATTGTTTTATAGGCAAATAAACTGAAAGCTATGTTTGCTTAAACATTTTTTTCTTTATTTTTTTAAGAGAGAGAGAGAGACGAAGGGATATGGGGAGATGGAAAGAAACATCTATTGGCTGCCTCCTGCATGCCCCCTGCTGGGGATTGAGACAGCAACTGGGGAATCAAACCTGCAACCTCCTGTTACATGGGTTGACACTAAACCACTGAGCCACACTGGCTGGACTTTGTTGTTTGCTTTTAAAATAGGATTATAAAAAGATTGAGTATCACATCTCTAGTTGAACCCTAATTAATTTTGATATTAACCATCACAAAGCATTTCATTTTCTTAGGATGAAAAGTTATTGAATAAAATACTGAAGAAAATATGTAGTATTAAGCTACTTATTCAAATAGATTTCAAGTTTCATGGTGCTTAATAATATAAAAGGTATGAAATTTTGAAGTGATATATCTAATTAAGTTTTTTCTTTTTATTTAACAAAATGTCACATACTAAAACTAACAATTCTGATAATGTAACTATAAGAGTAATTATATATGAAAACTTCTACAAACAGAGTATTATAATAAAAGCCAGACATCCCCCGAGGGGTCCCAGATTGCTAGAGGGACCCTATTCGTACATGATTGGGGCTGGGGTGGGACATGGGAGGTTGGCCAGTTAGGGAGGGACTGTGGGAGGGCTCCAGGGTATGTCTGGCCCATCTCACTCAGTCCTGGTCAGCTAGACCCCAGCAGCAAGCTAACCTACTGGTCGTAGCATCTGCCCCCTGGTGGTCAATGCACATCATAGTGAGCAGTTGAGTGGCCTTAGCATATCATTAGCATATTACGCTTTGATTGGTTGAATGGCCAACCTGACAACTGGACACTTAGCATATTAGGCTTTTATTATATAGGATCTGCTTGGCCTCTTGCCTTATACAGTAAAAATGAGTGTGTAAAAGTGCATTGGCATCTGTAAAACACTAATTAGTACTTGAAAATGCAAGCATAATTCTTGTTTATGTGTACAGGGTGTCAAAGCTTCTTTTAATGTTCCTGTTATACCATATTTGATGTCCAATAATGATTTCTCCCTTACTTATTATTTGAAAGAGTCTTCAAACAGTAGCTTTTAAGCTCAGTATTTTAGTCAATGAATCCGGTAGCCACAGAAGCACTCTAATTTGATTGTTTGCCTATGTGTGTTGTTTCCCTGGGGATAATATTAAGTCCACCTTATTCACCATTGAATCCTCTGGTGCCTGGCACACACTGTGGCATGAATAAATAAATGTGTGTTTGAATGGGTAATATGGGGACTAGGCCAAGATGACATTATGACCTCTTTACCCTTTTCCTCAGAGATTAAGAAGTAGAAATGCCTATTGTCTTTTGATATACGCAGCTTTACTAGTAAAGTGTAATTTTCCACTGTTGTCTCTCTTTTTACACAAGAGGCAACTCTTAACATAAATACCTGGACGTTTGCACATGACCATAGTGTTCTTTGGCAGAAGCCATCTTTTACTCCATAATCACGTAGGTCCCTTTAGAGCCAGGCTGTGTCCTATTTCCCCCCTCGTCTCAGCTTCAATATCCACTTCTCCGAATGTCTTCTCTGGCTTCATTTGAAGGGGAATGTACCCTGTTTTCTGGGCTAGCCGGGCATCCTTTATTGAAACCCCTTGTTTTTCTTCCCCGATAGACTATAAACTCTTTTAGTGCAGGGACCATATTTCTTGTTCACCATCATGTTTCAGTGCTTAGGATAGTATTGCCTGACATTAGTAAGTGTTTGTTAAATATTTATTTATCTTAATAAATGATATTCAAGGTATTATGACTTAGAAATGTGTTTTTGCACGTGACAGATATATCTGCTGTCTCTGGTCTTTTGCTCTGCTTTCTAAAATTATGCATATGTTTCATTGAAAGACAATTTAAAATCTGTTCTTTATGGTAATCATTCTTATGTGCTGTAAACCCTATTAATATAATCTTAAATTACTTATTCATTTCTGCGGAAACGGAGGATCTGTTAGATCAATATTGTAACATTGGAAAAATCATTAAATGCCTATTTATATAGCAAGCAGTTCATAATGGCTTCTTTGGCCCAGTTACAAGCTTTTTTTGTTGTTATTAATCCTCACCTGAAGATATTTTTTCCATTGCTTTCAAGTGAAAGGGAAGGAAGGAGGGAGGAAGGGGGGGGAGAGAGGGAGAGAGAGAGAGGGAGAGAGAGAGGAAGAGAGAGAGAGAGAGAGAGAGAAACAGAGAAACATCAATGTGAGAGAGACACATTGACGGGCCACCTCCCACACGAGCCCCTACCAGGGGCGGAGAGGGAATCCGCAACCCAGGCATGTGCCCTTGACAGGGAATCGAACCTTTGACCCTGAGGTGCACAAACTGACACTCCAACCACTGGACAATACTGGGCAGGCACAAGCAATTTTTTATTTACATTAATGGAGTTGCTTTTTAAGTGACACCTATCTTTTTCTTTTGATATTACTGTACTGAGTCTAATCGAGATTTTAAAAAAATTTATTTTCAACATTTTGAATATGAGAGCTCTCTTTTTCTAGGAATCCTTATCATACTATTTATTAAAACCTTTCTATTGAGTGCCATGTATTGTGATTCTTTTTTATTTATTTTTTATTTTTTCTGCTGCTGCTGTGAAGGTGAGGGTCCCTGGTGGCTTTGGGTGTTCAGATAGTGATAACCCATACAAGCCATATAGTCAGCCTTCTTCCCTTCTCACTCTTCATATACGACAGTAGGCGGCCAAAATAAAAAACATTTCCCAGCCCTAGTTGGTTTGGCTCAGTGGATAGAGCATCAGCCTGTGGAGTGAAGGGTCCCGGGTTTGATTCCAGTCAAGGGCGCATGCCCTGGTTGCTTGATCAATCCCCAGTAGGGGGCGTGCAGGAGGCAACTGATCAATGATTCTCTCTCATCATTGATATTTTTATCTCTTTCTCCCTTTTTGAAACCAATAAAAATATATTTAAAAAAAATAACGGTAGGTGGCCAATATGGGACTTGATACATTGGAGAAGATAACTTAGCCTCCACATTTAAGATTTTTTCCTCAAAGTAGTCAAATAAGAAATTACCTTAAATAAGAAGTATATAGCTCATTCATATTTAATATTTTTAAATTCCTAACATAGTTTTGTTAAATGGGGAAAGAGCTCAATATTTCAAAGCAAACATTCTAGTCATACTCTCAATATATAGACATTGTCTTGAGTGTCCTTGAATGTTATAAGACATTTTCTCTCTGCCTATAGTTTTTATAGTATTAGCTTTCATTTATTTTGAAAGCTGGAGATTGGAGTTAGAAACCTAACAATTATTTTGTAAAGCCAGCCCAAATTCAACGAGTTATATAAATTCTTGATATGCTGTTTTAAGAGCTTGTTCAGGATGATTTATTGGGGTTGGGTAGAATCTTGGCTTCATTTCAGCCCAAAGTATGAATGTGCTTTTATTAAATCGGACTTTTAAAAGCATAGCTTTTGATTTCATTTAACAGATGAAAATTAGAGTTGTGGACATGACTCTTTTAAAGTGATTATTTAGCAATGTTTTGCTAAAAGGCTGCTTGTAATTTTAAACTTTACCTGTGCCTTTTGTTATCCTTGTAATTTGTGCAAAATCTATGGTGGTAACTGCTTTTCATTTGTGATATTAGTGATTTGTGTTCTTATTTTTTTCTGGGTCACTCTACCTAGGGGTTACTGATTTTGTTGATTTAAAAAAATCAGCTTCTGGTTTATTTTGTTTTTCTGTATTGTTTGCTGTACTGTCTACTTTGTTAGTTTTTTGCATTAAAATTTTTTTAATTACTTTTCTTTTTTAAAGAGAGAAAAACATCAATTTGTTGTTCCACTTTTTTATGCAGTCATTGGTAGCGTCTTGCATGTGCCTTGACCGAAAATCAAATCCACAACTGTGGCCTATTGGGATGACACTCTAACCAACTGAGCTCCCCAGCCAGGGCCTCTTCTTATGTTTTTTTTATGTTTGGCTGGTATATCTTCCTTTTATTTATTGTTAGCCTATGTGTGTATATAGCATATAGTTGTAGATAGCGTATAGTTGGGTCTTGCTTTTTTATTTATCCTAATGAGTGATTTTTAATTGGAGTATTTAGTCTATTGACATTTAATGTAATTATTTATATGATTAAGCCTATCATTCAAAAAATGTTTTAAAATATATTTTTATTGATTTCAGAGAAGGAGGGAGAGAAAGATAGAAACATCAGTGATGAAAGAGAATCATTGATCGGCTGCCTCCTGCATGCCCCCTATTGGGGATTGAGCCAGCAAACCTGGCATGTGCCCTTGGCTGGAACCGAACCCAGGACCGACCCTTCAGTCCATAGGCCGACGCTCTATCCACTGAGCCAAACTGGCTAGGGCCAAAAAATATATATTTTTTTGTTTCCTCTGTTTTACTCCTGGTTTTCTTTAGCCCAGCTGGTGTGGCTTAGTGGATGAGCATTGTCTCATGGACCCAAAAGGTCCCTGGTTTGATTCCTAGTCACGGCACATGCCCGGGTTTTGAGCCCAGTAGGGG